CCGACTGAATACCCGGCGGCGTGCGGCGGCGCGGGGATCAGCCAAGTCCGGAGTCCTCAGTACCGCACCAACCAGAAGCCCCTTATTGCTGCTGTGTTAAACTTCTAATCAAGCAAACCAACTTCGCGCAAGGAATAACACGACCCTGCGGTGTTCTCTTTCCGTTCCAGGAAAAGCAGGGGCGGCAGCTGTACAGTCCGAGTGGCCCGTAGCTTTGGGTCTCTTCGGCCGCCGCCGCCGACAGCAGCAGCAGCAGCAGTAGCAACACCTGCCCGTCAGCGCGCCGTCAGCGTCAGCGCCGACCACGCCGACGCGTACCCCCTCCCTCCCCTCCCCACCCAACCACCCCCTCCGCTCGGCGATGGGGCAGTTAGCGCTGGGGCTCGGTGCGGCCGCCCCCTCTCTGCGCCGGACCGAGGCTGGATAGTCTAGCAGGGGCCCCTCCCCGCCAAGGCCTGCGAGGCCCTCCCCTCGGCCAGGGCAGCGCCAGGCCAGGGGACCTGCACCCAGGGGCCCCGGGGACCCAGTCTGTGATAATGTATTAAAAGAGTCTATTTTAGTTTTTGAAAGTGTGTGAGCTTGTGTGCGAGTGGTATTTTATTACAGTATTAATTTTGGGGAATTGATTGTGTGAGTGTTGGAGCACGTCGGGTCGTGCGCTCAGTTTGATTGTTTCCGCGGATGAATGTAGAGAGTTCTTTCCGCCAGGGTGCGAAAGAGTTGTTAATAAGTTGAGCGCTAGGTCCACAATAGTAGCGCTAGGTGTTAATAGTTATTAGTTGTTGGGTAAGGTAACGGGCGCGTCAGAAGCGACAAGCAGCACCCCTCCTTTCCCTCCGACTCATCCTTCTCATGTCTCCGTGAGCTCAACCAGCAACGACAAGATGATCGAACCGTATTCCCCGGACGTGCTCTGGCTCATCATCGTCGGCTTCATCGTGGCCTTCGTCTTGGCGTTCGGCATTGGTGCCAACGACGTGGCCAACTCGTTTGGCACGTCGGTGGGCTCCAAAGTGCTGACGGTGCGGCAGGCTTGCATCCTGGCGACCATCTTCGAGATCGCAGGCTCCGTTCTCATCGGTGAGTTGGCCGGGTTGCCTACCCAGCCGTCGGCGGGCGGACGGGCGTGCTGATCACCCCGTTCACGACTACAGCTGTCTCTCTCTCTGTCGCACAGGCTACAAGGTGTCGGACACGCTGCGCAAGGACCTGCTGGACCTGTCCATGTACGAGGGCGACGAATACGAACTCCTCCTTGGCTGCCTCGCCTCACTCCGTGAGTGTTGCCGCCGCTCGTTGAGGGAAGCCCCGGATGTGCTGTTGTGACTGTCCTTCTGGTTGCAGTGAGCAGCGCCGTGTGGCTGCTGCTGGCCACCTTCTTCAAGCTGCCCATCTCCGGAACGCACAGCATCGTGGGCGCCACAGTTGGATTCTCCTTGGTGTGTCGAGGCACTCAGGGTCTGCGCTGGTCTACTCTGGGGATGATTGGTAAGATAATGATTGTATGATTCAAAAATAAATCAAACCAAATCATGTTTTTTTTTTTACAAAATTAAATGTTATTATTGTTTACAGTTCTTTCATGGTTTATATCACCGGTTTTGTCTGGCATAGTTTCTGTGGCCTTTTTCAAAATGATAGAAATATTCATACTCCGAGCCCCTCAACCTTTCAAACCTGCTCTGCGTGCCATGCCGCTTCTCTATGGCTTTACTGTCCTTGTTAATGTCTTCTCCATTGTTCACAATGGACCCAGGTGTAAGTGAACAATATGTAGTCCTTTCATAAAATTACTTATTTATTCTTGGGAAAAACCAACTTAATTTTTTTTTATTACAGTGTTTTACTTTGACCGAATCCCCTTGTGGGGTGCATTTGTTGCAAGCTTGTCTGTTGGCGTGTTGGTTTCACTATTGGTGCAAATTTTCCTTGTACCTTATCAGAGAAAAGCCATCTTGGGAAGCCTAGGTATATTCATTTCTTCCTCAATCATAAATAGCCTTCTTGACTTTGAAATTTTCACATTTTTTTTTATTATTTTACAATTTTTACCACAGATCAATCAACCAAAGACCGAAATAGGGGAGTAAGCTTCACGTTTGGAGGCTCAACTGATTCATCTAGAGATCCAAGTCCTCGACCATCACGTAATGTGTCTGCTGAGAATCTGCATAATTCTGCTCTTCCGATGATAAAGGAGGGGAATGAGCTTTCATTACCGCAAAATAAAAATTCTGCAACTTCAACTTCTAATACCCAACAGATGTATCGGTAATAGCTTACTTCACTTGTCACATTATGTCTTTCTTTTCTTTTAATAAGATAGTAATCTACCTTGCAAATTTAATTTAGGTTTGCAGGTGGCAATAAAACAGGAAAAGAAAATGGCTACACACTGGCTGAAACTACTCTTAACAATGCACGAACTGTAAGTTTTCAAATAAATTACAATAAGGTATTTTAAAATTTGCTCTGAGTTTTGGTCAGCTCTTTTACTTTTGATCTGTTGTGTTGAAGGAGTCCTCGGAGCAGACAGGCGATCAACAACTGGGTTTGCCAGGAAGTGGTCAGGTTACACCAGCATATGGTAAGTATTTTGTTCCTGCATTAAAATATTGAACCTGAGCAATATTATTTGAATTTTACATTGAATAAGTTATCTTTTTGTTTTTAGGACTTTCACCAAATAGTAGTGCTGTTCCATTGATCAGAGAAAAGGTTCCAGAATCACTGGTAGGTTAACAAATTATAACTATGAAGAAATTATTCCTCTGAAACATATTTCATGGGTTTATTGTGTGCTTTTCAGAAACTTATGGAGGAAGGTGGTAATGCTGTGGTTGAGGAAGAACCTATTGAGGTAGCTAAGACTTTTTCATTTCTTCAAATTCTAACAGCTATATTTGGATCTTTTGCACATGGGGGAAATGATGTCAGGTGGGAACAAATTCAAGTGAAATTTTTTGGAAGTCCTTAAACTTTTTTATTATTCGATTTTTTTTTCTGCACAGCAATGCAATTGGTCCTCTGATTGCTATGTGGTTAATCTATCATGATGGCTCAGTCCGGCAAGCTTCTGAAACACCAATATACATACTTTTGTACGGAGGTCTTGGAATATCCACAGGTTTATGGTTGTGGGGTAGGCGAGTCATAAAGACAGTGGGTGAAGATCTTACAAAGATAACTGCCACAGAGTATGTATAACATTTCCTCTCTATGATGATTGCACTTCTGATGTTGAATTTTTCTAATGTAGTGTTTTTTAAAATTTTTAGAGGCTTCACTATTGAGATAGGTGCTGCATTCACAGTCCTTCTTGCTTCTAAGATAGGGATACCTATTAGTACGACACATTGTAAAGTGGGATCAGTGGTGTTTGTTGGACTTGCCTCTTCTTCTTCATCTGGAGTTGATCTGAGGCTGTTTAGGTAAGAATTACATTTTTCAGAGTATTAGTATTACAGTACGTAGTTTGAGGTGTAGGATTTATTTTTTGACTACCTACTATGTTTAAAAACACTTTTCTCCTCTTTTCAGGAACATAATATTTGCTTGGCTTATTACACTTCCAGCAGCAGGTGGATTGAGTGCCCTCTCAATGTTTCTATTCCGAACGTTCTTACTTTAGACTGCATCGTCATGACTGTTCTACTTCTGCTCAGTTCTGCTACTGACTTCTGCTCACAAGTTATTGACAAGTCTGTCGCAGCTTGGTCTTTGCAATAGTGACTCTCATTTTAGAGATTGTGACTCTTTTAGTTTCAGGATTATTGTGTATGAACTTGCTAATAAGTGTCAATGTGTATGTCAATTTTCTCAAAAACCTTTCAATTAATTAGGAGAGATGGCAGAGAGTTCTCTTCAATTGACAGTATTTTTTGTTTTTGGTTTTGAGAAGTTCTATGATCACTGAAACTTTCTACTTGATGTAATTGCCAATTATCTTCTTTATTTGTACTGAACGTAAGTTTTTAAAGTTACCTTCGTCCAAAATCAATTTCTGATCTGATGTTATATTTTGCATATGATTTAGGATAGCCTTTGGTTAATGGTGTTGTTAAGCAAGTAAAGAATCCTCATTGAGATGCAGCCTGTAGCCATGAGTAATAGAGACAATGTGTACAAAAATTTGTGCTGGAAATTAGGATGAGAGACATGGCGTTTAGTGCAGTTTTGGAAGTATGAAGTGAGAAAAAACATTGGAAAAGCAAGAAGAATAGTTTATTGTGTAATATTTTTCTCTATGAAGTCCATGATTCACTGAATATTAGAAATGCTATCTATATGTAAATGAGTGACACATAGCTTCAAATGGAGACTGATAATTGAGGTTATCTGAGAATATTATTGATGTGGAAAATGAACATGGACTGTAAAACATGAAATGAGCACAAAACTGTTTAAATTGTGGGTTTAAAGAAAATGTATTCTTTGAATTTTTAAGTTTTACATCTCATAGCTATGGCTTAGAACCATTGAAAATCTTCTCGGCAGTTTGTGAAATAGCAAAGTGCTAATTCTCTCCAAATAATTTCCTGGTATGTTGAAGGAAGTTCTATGCTGTGTTTAAGATGGTTAGCTTTCCCTTCTTGCTGTAATTTGATCCTTTGTAGTTTCGTGGTTTCATTTGCCCCTTGTTGAATATCTATTAGAAAGTAATTCAGAGGTAGGTCACCGTAGCAAATGTGTATTTTTTTTATATTTTTTTTTTGTTGTGTTCATAGTATTTTTTGATACAAAACAAAATAAAATTAGCAGATTTTGCTGTTGTAATTGAAGAACATTTCATTCTCGAGAGGGGTAGCTTTAGGTTCTGTAGTCCACTGATATTGCAAACTATTTCTGGATAAATGTTGCTTAAAATGGTTAACAGATTTCTGGCTTGCTTGGATTACATTAATAACTTTGAAACAGATCTGTGATTCAAGTAGCTCTCTTATTTTATGCTTTTCAAGCTTCCGTGTAAGTCTATTCCTTTCCATGTGGACTAGATTAGATCATATTTTTCTCCTGTTTGATATAGAATTGTCAACTTATTCCGACTTATCCAGTCTGGTGAGCCCCTTGTTAACTTGTATAGGAGAGAGACAATATTTCCTGAGATGGTTTGATACTGTCCTAACAGTTGTTGATTTGATGCCAAAGTAATGGTTGTAAGTATCTAAGACAGGCTGCCTTGAAGCCATTCTGTCATATTGTGATTATTCTTTCTATTCCATGGTGTAACACAATTCAAGATGGAAATGAAAATGTACTGAGTAGAAACGAAAATAAATAAGGTGATGGTTTAATAAAAGCTTTCTTCAAATTTATTAGAGGAGACATAGCCACATGATTGTGATATCAAAGCTTGAGTACATCCTCTTTAGACCCTTATGTCTAAAAGATCACAAGACTCAAGCAAGCTAAAGCTCATTGATTGAGAATTCATAGGGAAAATTGTAGAAATTTAAAATATGTATAACGTACATGGCAGTATAGCAATACATGTGACACCAAAAACCAAGAGAGATAACAGTTTTCCTTGGTTATATATGGAATGATTAATGATTCAAAATAGGTGCTAACAAATATCTTGCTTTTCAAATTCAAGCAGACATGTCATTTGTTAGCAGGCAAAAGTGGTTCTTAACACAAAGAATTCCTATGAACCCCCCATTCTGAACACAAATCCAATGGTAGGAGATCGATATCAAGGTACTGAAGTCTTTAGAAATATCAAAATTCACCTCAAATATCTAAAAAAATTGTTTCCCTTGAAAACAGAGAACAGTAACAGCTAAAATTCTGACTACAATACATAAGGGAAAAAAGAGAAAATGAAGGACTAGCATAGAAAATCTACAATACAAACCTGGCTTTGCTAGGTTTCAACATAAATATAATTGACAACAAACAAAAATATAATCAACAAAATGTCAGATATTGATTACTAATTACATATACTCCTGCACATTAAGAATTAAGAATAACACTAAGGGTGAGGTACATGGCAAAGGAAAACTTGTTTTTTTGGAGATGTGTATCAACTTCAGCATGTTGTGTTACTTACTTAAAAAAACATGTGATTCATTTTAAAAATAGGCCGCAAAAATTATTGTGTGATTTCCCCCACCCTATATTTGTTTTAATGATCTTGCATAGAAATAGAATAAATTAGAAAGCTAGATATAACATGAAGGTCTAGCTTTGATCATTCACACAGAAATTTTTTATTCAGACGATTTCTTTTTTGGCTTTCCCCTTTGTTCTTCAGCTGATACCATCTCGTCTAGCACCATAAAAGCTCGAGTTAACTCTTTAACAATACTGTTATAACGTTCAAACAAATCTTGAGCCTGTTCATTTAGAGCTTCCACACCCTGGACACTATCTATTGTGATCAAAGTCAACTTTTCAAGTTGCCCAGAGAGCCCTGAGACTGCTTGCATGCTACTGATGGCATTTTGGTTGTCCAATACATTAGACACAAGCCTTTGGGCTTGTTCTAAACTAGATAGATCTTGACGAAGTTCCCGCTCCCTTGCCAAAATAATCTGGATAAAATAATCCATGGTATCAGATTATAATAAAATATCTCTACGTATATGTCATTACAATTAATCTTTATTTCTACACACTTACCTCCAGTTTTGCCTCACAGGTCATGGTGGAGTCTTCAAAAGTAGGGTCCATGTATCTGTTTAGTTCACTGATGCGTTGCATGACTGCAAGGGCTTTTTCACGTCCCGACAAAGCTGAGTTTAAGAGCTGATTAGCATGAGATAATGCTTCTAATACAGAAAGTTTCTCTGTATCTCCACGAAGTGATGCTGCAGCAGACCCACGAGTTCCAAGAACTTTCCGCTCTAACTCCGAAATACGATCATCTAATAGATTCAAGGGGTCCATGGTGACTTGTCTGAAACATTTGAAATAGGATATGAGGTTAATATGGTAATCCTATAGCAATATTCAGGAAATATAGTGCATGCAATAATTGAAGAGTTGTCTTTGTGTAAATGTAAATAAAGCTTCAATGGTTGGCCTGTTAAGACTATTGACAGCTGAGACAAAGCAAAAGAGTGATCCCTCAACATTCTAAGACATGATTTTTTGGTAATTAGTTTCATATATAAAATTATCTTGAATCTTAGAGAAACAGGTATTGAGCTAGAAGTCAATGTACAGGAGAAAATCGAGAACCAAACATGAAAACTACAAAAACTTCAGGTACAGGTTAATGTCAAGAAGCACCTGGCCTAGCAAAATACAATATTTGGCAGTGAGTAGGACTAATTAACACGATTGATTTTTACCTTTCGCAGGATTTAAAGTATGACGAGAGGGCAAACAGTATTTAAAATTACGTCGATTGGTTACTGGTTTCGCCCCTAATATATGAAACAACCCGTGGCGACTGCCTGCAGAAGGCTCTGACCCTTAGAGCGCAACAACAACATCCAACAAGAACACTATTCTCCACTCTGGCAACCTCGCGGCATGAAAATGTGGAGCAATCTGGCCTCTAGGTGGCGCCTTTTTTGTTGCTTAGGGGTTGCTCAGCCTGTGCGGTCCCTAGCCCGCCCGCCGGCGGCGGCGGCGGCATTGGTTTTTTTGGACAGTTTTGGAGGCTGAAATTGTGCAAGTTTTATGCCAATTTGTGAGAATTGAAACTGATAAAAAACAGAATATCGAAAACTGGACATTGGGGATAGAGCTTTTGTCGAATATAATGCTGAACAAGACAAACGGTGAGTACTATATTTATTTTTTCCTGTACTGAACTATCCAGGATTTTTCAGTAGATAGGCCTCGATGCTTTGAACTAATTGTAGCTTATTGAATTTAGAGAAGCCTGGAATGTTCAGGTGTCGGTGGAGGTCCTTCAGCTGATCCATATTTAATGATGTGGCCTGCGAAAATAATCGTGTTTAATAATAATAATCATCATCTTTGTACTCTCAGAAATTGATGCCCAAAATTGAGGAAAAAAGGCATGCAACGTACATTTTGCCTAGCTTGTGGGATGTATTTAGCTGCATAGTCATAGCACTTTTTCTCCCTCTTGACCTGTCGTTTAGGTAAAGCCTGCTCCTTGTAATTCATGTTTAATTGACCTAAAATAAAATCAAACCAAAAATATGTCAACATACTAATTTTCCATTTGATCTATTCCATATGTAGGTTATGAGGGTTACTACCTACCCATGGCACTAGAAGGAGGTATTGTTGTTGTCACAACCACATCACTCCTTAAAGCCTGAGGAGCTGGAGCTGGTGAGGCAACTTCTGTCTCAAATTCGACCAATAAGTCCATCAAATCTGTAATAATGATTGTAAGTATTTTCTGCATATAATCAATAAAAATATTGAAGTTATGTTGCATTGTGTACCTGGAGTTATTGTGTCCTGATTAATGGCAGGATGTGTGGAGACAGATGGTGCTGTTGCATCATTCAAAATTACTCCGTGATTCAAAGTAGAGTCCGAACCTGTTTGAGAAATATGAACATTTAAAATTGATGTCAGAGCAGGAAAGGATTTTGAAGCCCAGCATGGTATGGTCTTTCAGTACAGTCACCATTGATAGCAATTTTGTACATACTTGGTGCTATATCATGTATGACATCCATTTCATTTTCTGCCTCAGCTGGATCATCAACTCTTTCTGGATCATCAACTTTTTCAGCAGCTGAGTGTATTGCTGTTAACAAATGACGAAGAGATTATCAAATTGAACTATGGTAAGTAATCACTGTATCTGTATAACACTGTGTGTTATGACTCATACCTATTTCCAGGAACTGTCTGCTGGGAACTGTACCTTGGACCATTTGCAAATTTGCTGCCACAGCACTGTTAATTTCTGTGAAGCAAGTACATATGATTAATGTTTTTTCTGGCCTGAATTTGGTGTCCACATTTGTACAATAACCAAGGATGGATAACTCCTGAATTAGGTGTACAAATTTCATGAAGAATTTTAATTATTGCAATTTTATTTTACTGAATTGGTTAAAATATTTTAAAATTGGTTTGAATTATTTCTGAATTGTGTTGAACTAAATGGAATTGGTCTGAGTTGTTTCAATTGGGCAGAATTAGGGGTGTACACTTAGCATGGGAGTTATCCACCCCTCGACAATAATATTGCTAACTTGTCTAACTTGTCTTACCTGAAAGTCCTGTCAGCAGCAACCAGTCATTTCTATTAATGTCCTCAAGACCTTCTTCAGTGGAATTTGCAGTGGCCTTTGCCACTTGACGGGTGACCCTGACTCTCTTTTCTTTTTTTTCTTTGTTAATTTTGTTGCATTGCAGAACTATGATTCTCACTAATACCAGGTCCATCAATATTTCTGAAACGAGGTTGTTGTGCTCACTACAAGTTAACCAGGCCAGGGACACTTGAGAGCTTTGAAGAAGATCCTGGAGAACCTTCTTCAGTTGGGGCTTCCAGCCAACGCTCTTCCAGTTCTCAACAATAATTTTTTGGGCACTGAGAAAAAAGTTCATGAAGTCAGGGGAGGGATGGTGGGTACCTTCACTTAGAATTAAAAAGTCTGTGGATGGAATATCACTGGTCATGTCTTTGGTGCAAGCTCTACACTTGTTAGTGGCTTCTATAACCCTAGTGCATATTGTTGAGCATGTCAATGATGCACCCTGCCTCTTCAATTTTTTCCCAGATGCACTGACCACCGGCTCAGCTTCCTCACCATCATAACCTCTGAGGAGTATTGGATTCTGCTTTTCTGGTGAATCTGCAGCAGCTGCTATTGCTTCACTGAAATATTTTTCCAATTCATCTAAAAAATTATTTTGTTGTGTTTCAGATGAGCAATTTGAGTCACGCACGGATGCTGAGAGTTGCTGGATGAGGACGGTCTTCATAGCTCCAACATATTGTGTGACAGAAGGGTCAGTGTTTGAGCCACAAGCAGCCCGAATCTGACCAAACCAGTTTTCGAGATCATCCTGGTTGAGGCGTCTCAGCTTGAGAGTGGTCATCCCAATGTCTGGCTGAGTGACCCTCTTCCAGATTCTGGCCATTCCCCTCAAGTTGTCAATGAAACCAGACAAACATGGAGGTATGTGCCTCACACCACTGTCCTTTCTGATGAAAGTCCATTGTTGAAGATTCTTAATTTCTTCTCTCCAGTAGGCATGGTGGTACGAATCAGCTGTGACATCACACCTCCTGTCCTTGGGCTTGTCCTTCCTGCCAGGCCCATTCACGGAATCAAATAGTTGGTCGACCAACAGCAGCAGATCAGCTGTAGGCATACAGTCACTGAGGTATTTCCCATCTGATACAGTGTGGAAAGTGTTCATTCCTTTCCAATTTGACTCACTGAAAACCTGTGCTGCGAGACAAACCAACATTTTGTTTCTGCCCAGTGGACAAAGGTGGGCATACTTGAGGTTTGAAATTTTGCAAATTCCCTCATCTAATTTAAAGAATTCCACTATGTGCCTCCACTCGGCAATTTTTCCAGGAGCATATTCTAGGTCACTGGACAGGAGGTTGTTTCTCAAACTTTTTAGAAGATGAGGAAAGTCCCAAAGATGAACAATTCGGTGACCATCCACTTCATACACGCTGTCATACTCCCCCTGTTCACACTGACTTCTTAAAATTGTGATGGCACCACGGTTAGTTGGCCCTTGATCTGACACTGTCATAACTGGTTTGAGGCCTATTGAAATTACTGCCCTGGCAACATCTTGTATTAATTGTGCCAACACTTCTTTGGGGCAGGTTCCATTAACAGGATAATGAGCTATTGGAAAAGTGAAGTCTGAATGTAACAGCCTAATTTTAAACTGTAGCAAATGATTGGCTTGAACATGGGTTCTTCCCCTCTCACCAAAATCTTCAAAGCCGTCAATTTCATCAACAATAAAGTTGTACTGCAGCAGGTCCTCTATAAATACCTCATCAAATTGAATTCCCACTGCCTTTTCATGAGGCATACAGTTGAATGTTTTTTTTTCTATTATTTTTAAAAGGAAAGGAGACACCCCAGGCTTAAGGACAATATCTGCAAGAACTTCCTTTAGTGTTGTCTCTGAAGGAAGAGTGATGTGCTGCCGCAAAAATCTATAAGTTCGAGGACTTCTCTTGTAGATAGAGAGAGCAAAACACTTCTCCTTGAAGAGCCACTTCCTGCTTGAAGGATGTCTCTTAAAATTTCGCAGTTCACCAAACAAAATTTGTTTGGCAATACTGGATACAGCCATTAAGTGTAATGTCTCTTCCGGGGTTCTATCATTATTAAGTCTATTGCTATATATTTTCTCCATCTTCTCTCTATAAATCATCCTTTTTTTGTATTTTTGTGAAAGCAAATGTTTCTCATGTACCAGGTCAAGTAGTGCTTGTCGCCGAGGGGTGAGGTCGACAGGCTTGACATTAGCCTGCCGTCGCCAGGAAGCTTTTGTTGACCTTTTGTTGACCTTGGCTTTGAAAGCAACCCCTGAAAAAGGAAACAATAGTGTAAATTTGGCTCCCCCTTAGATCAGGTAATTATTGTGACACTGTGAAAAATAGTTGTAAGTTTATGAGAAAATTTTCCTCTTTCACCCAGAAAACGACATTCTTGATTTCAGTATAATATACTAGTTAGTCCCCTAATCTAAGCTAAAAAAGAATACTGACTGGGCCAGAGACATCTGTTAATTAGACATTTAACACCGAGAATTTCAAAATAAAAAAAGTTTTTTTCTTTTTCAATTAGAGTATTAACATACTAAAAGCTAGAATGCCGTTTTCTGGGTGTTGATTGGAAGATTGTAAAGTCTGATTGCATGTCTGTGTTTTAGAATAGCTTACCTGGTTTTGGTGACTTTTGCACACAGTGCACCTCAAATAAACCATCCCCTAAGGACTCCATCAATTTTTCCCCATCAAAAACTGAAGCAGATTGTGCCGGAACATCAAGAGGAGGATCAGGAAACACTTGAGATGGAGTGTCAGTGCTGATTGGACAAGTGGTAGGTTTGTAAGCATAACAGCTTCTTTTCCTTTTGCCTGCAAGCAAATGTATTTTGGAGACTTTGATTTTCACTTTTCAATCTCACCCAGTCACTGATTTTTGTTTTTTGTTTTGTAAGTATTTGTCAGTCTTCCTGTTGCATAAAAATATAAATAATCCACTGACAATTGTTTTAGCCCACCCTTCTGAAAAGAGCTATACAGCAGGCTTATGCAGAGACTTTAAACTTTCAGGGTTTTATGTTTTAGTAATACACTAATTTCTCTTAATATTGCTGGCAATATTTTTCTCTGCTTAATTATTCACCTCTATCAAATTTCCTCTTATAAAGAAATTTATTTTTACTCCAACTACATACTGACTAAAAAACAAAAATCAGTTCAGGTCTGAGAGAGTGTATACTAGGCCTGCTATTGTCACTGTAAAATAATGTGTCCAGAGTTACCAAAACAAAATAGTTTTGAGTAATTAAGGAATTTCTTGGTGAACTGTCAAGCAGTCAACTAGCAATGTATTATGTTTCAGTTGTTTGCTGTACCTGGGGTAGAGGTGTAGGACTTGTCCAGCTCTGCCACCTCAAAGGTCCTTTTCAAGGACTGTGTAGGAACTTTGAAGCTGCATCCTACATCAGCTGTGAGGTCTGTGAAAAAATTATTCTGTATACTTCAATTGAATAAACCAATGATGTTGTCATATTGCTGTCATAAATTCTTTCAGTATACCTTGCTCTGTCAGCTCAGTGTATTCCACCACTGGAAAGCGGGCCATCACCTCATCGCTGAGGGAAGGCCCATTAACCAGCTCAGGATCTGGAATTGCTGTCCTTCGAAGTGTCCTGCAAGATGCATCCCAGAAGTCTCTTGACTTGTGGAAGTGCCCACTACACATATACCTATGAGTGCTCAATTTGGAGGATGGAATGAGAAGCAGGTCTTCGTTCCCTGAAATCTGCACCCATGCTTTTTTTCTGCCAAATAAATATGATGTTTTAATAATGCTTCTAAATGCTGTACATCACTCGTATGATGCAAATCCCCCTATAACCCTTTCTCTCTATTTACCTCTCTGGATCTATGGGGAACTTGAAGAACCTGACCTCGGGGTCAGTGATTGGCTTTGTGCTTGCCGGGCACTCAATAGCAGAGCACACCGACATCGCGAAATGAGATTTTAAATTTTTGCCACTAAGTAAACGAATGGCATGCGTCAATGTTTACCTCTTGCGGGGATAGGCAAGTGTCAAGTATTTCAAATCCATCCGCGTCAAGGGGAATCACATACCAACGTATAATAAAAATTATTGTATTAAAAACGGAACATAACGCCTGTAGATTGATTTCAGAGATCATTTTATGATTAAGTATGTGTAATGTGCTGGTTCTTCTTAGGTAAAATC